ACAATTAACTGTCTTCAATATAACACTAAAAATTGAAAATAAAGTGAGGGAGAATCAAAATTCACTACAAGTTGTATATGTGACATCTAACAACATCCACATGACCTTATGAATGGCTTCTTGTTCATTGGGCGCCTTGTATCCCTATACAATTATTAGATGTTGAAATTCTGGTCCCAGTTCCTGTAAACACTTCTGTATCTGAGTAACTTTATATAGGTGAGTGGGCTCTTTCAGTTCAACAAGACATGGGGAGGATCTTGGGGGGACGGAGGAAGGGGTGCAGTGAACCTCCTCTTTGATACCTGCTCTACTGAGACTTTAAAACAAATTGCCCAGGGCCAGTAACATTTCTATTAATGAGGAAGTCAATTGACTTCATGGCTTGTTAATATCGCCCTGATTCCTGCTTATCTCTTTTCACTCCACAGACATTAATAACCACTGTTTGATGGTTTTAATGTTCTACTTTTCAAACTATCTTTTTTCCTGTAATTGCTGTCTATTGGCTCTTCATGGTAAAGTCTGTCTTCTAGTTCATAGACTTGAAGACTATTTTTAGTTTTAGCTAAAAACCTCAATTGAGGCATGGTAATATTAACTCAGATGTGGAAATGACTGACAGATGTAGAAATGATGGACTGGGAAGCATCAGAGACTATCAAAATGCTTTAAAAAAATAGTTTTTTGTTTTGGTTTTTTTTATGAATTTGAGTAAGAGACATACGTTGAACTATAATAATTATAGAACCAATGAAACAATATCTTTTGAATATTTTAGCCTTGTTAGTTGTGTTTTTTTAAACTTTATATATATTCTAACAAGTTAGTGCACTTTCTAATAAAGTAATATTTGCTTTTGCTTTGATTTTAAACTGACTAATAATGTTCCAGGCCCCTAGCATATTAGTAAAATTTGTACTTTCTCTTTAGCTGGAGTAAAATGTGTTTTTGTATATGTGATGATGCACTGCACCACACCATCTTGCACCCCCTTTTTCAAAATCTTAGATCCAGCCTCTAAGGGAACAGGACTACTTCCATACAGGCAAAAAAAAATTGGGATTACAGCTCCAGACTATATAGTGCTTAGAACAGGGAATTTACAAACTCTTTATTTAGCATTTAGTTGGCAATAATATAAATAATAATAAAATAGATTCATAGATTCATAGATGTTAAGGTCAGAAGGGACCTCAATAGATCATCAAGTCTGACTCCCTGCATAGGCAGGAAAGTGTGTTGGGTTCAGATGACCCCAGCCAGATGACTATCTAACCTCCTCTTGAAGACTCCCAGGGTAGGGGAGAGCACCACCTCCCTTGGGAGCCCATTCCAGATTTTGGTCACTCTAACTATGAAGAAGTTCTTCCTAATGTCTAGTCTAAATCTGCTCTTTGCTAGCTTGTGGCCATTATTTCTTGTAACCCCCGGGGGCGCCTTGGTGAATAAAACCTCACCAATTCCCTTCTGTGCCCCCGTGATGAACTTATAGGCAGCCACAAGGTCGCCTCTCAACCTTCTCTTGCGGAGGCTGAAGAGGTCCAGGTGCCCTAGTCTCTCCTCATAGGGCTTGGCCTGCAAGCCCTTAACCATATGAGTGGCCCTTCTCTGGACCCTCTCCAGGTTATCCACATCCCTCTTGAAGTGTGGTGCCCAAAACTGGACACAGTATTCCAACTGCGGTCTGACCAGTGCCCAATAGAGGGGAAGTATCACCTCCTTGGATCTGTTTGTCATGCATCTGCTGATGCATGATAAAGTGCAGTTAGCAGATGATGCCAAGCTCTGACTTAGACATTATGTTAGGGCTAAATGTTATATAAATGAAAATATTCAGACATTATTTTCGTTTCCAAATATCTGAATATAAAATATTTTTCACATTTAATATGATTAATTCATAAAAATCTTGCTAGATTAATTATATCTATATAGCATGTTTTCCCTCAGACGCTCATTTAACAGGATAACTATGCAAACCAACAACTACAGGGTAATCAGGGCTGTCCCTGGGGGGGGTGAATTGGGGCAACCACCCTGTGCCCCATGCTTTGGGGGGCCCCATGAAGCAGGGCGGAGCAGTGGCAGCGTGGAGCCATGCAGAGTGGTGGCTCTGTGTCCAGCTGCTTGCTACGCCCTGCTTTCCTGCTGCTGATGGCACCGCGGAAGCTTCTTTGGGTCCAGGGCCTGGATTGGAGTGGGGGCGGGGCCCCATGTGGACTGATTTGCCCTGGGCCCCGCACAGTGCTCGGGTCATCTCTGAGGGTAATTTCTGTAATTTAAAAAATATTTCTCCTGTATTCTAAAACTTGGCCTGCATGGCCTAATGTTTTATGCAACAACTAACCACACAAGACAGAAAAAGCAATTGATAATATAATGAATAGATAATGTACCACTGGTGAAATCTTGGCCCTCTTGCAGTCAGCAGCAATGTTGCCATTGAGTTCAAAGGGGCCAGAATTTCTAAAATTCCAGTATTCTAATATCTACATAATTTGCCTCTCCCCACTATTTTTGACAATGGATAAATGATGAGCTTCACAAGGCCCACCATATGGCTTGTTGAACTTTAGAATCATACAAATAATAATAAACCAGCTCTCCATCCTTGGTTTTTTTTTAAGAAAAAAGTTTGAACAAGTTTTAAAGGAAATACATTTTCATTTTTTACCCTTCTCCCTTATTTCCCTGAAAAATAATCTCTGTATGGCCTAATGGTTAAAATCTGAATTTAAATGTTTAATAATTGCTTATTTAAGCAGGAGTATTAACAGATAATCATATATCCCAGAATAATTTACATTTATTGTGTACATTAATGGAAATTATACCAGGGTATGTAATACATGATGAACATCTTATTTTAGCTAGTTTAGATTCTAGGCTGCTATTATTTGTGGACTACAGTAAGTAATGGAGGACTTAAAAAAACCCTCTCTTCCTTAAACAAACAGATATCCTGGGAAATTATGCCAGTGGAATTTTACCCCATATTTTTCAGATTCAGCTGGCCACTACATTTTTCTAGTGGTGTCATTCTAAAATTACAAGTGTAAACATGTGTAGAAGCCAAGCCCTTCATAAATGTCACATAGACTGCCTTCTGACTTTAGGGCACAGAATAATACTCGTCTTACAAGTTCGTTCTTCTATGCTGTTCTAAGGCATTCATTCCTGCACACTATTTCTAACATTTTACAATGAGTTGGAAAGCATCCTCCTTACATTAATTCATTTCCAGTAATCAGTTTCACCTTGATAATGGAGAGCAGTTACAGTGATTGTTTTCCCTGCTACTGCATAAGTGGAGGAGAAGCTCTCTGTGTGTAGGGAAGCTGTTACTGTTCATTATGGTGAGCTGAATTTAAGTATAAATGGATTGATGTCTACAAGAAGAAAGAGGATTACATTAACCTCAGGGCAATTGGCCAGATCCATCTCCATAGTATGCAATTCAAGAAACCTTTCTCTTTTTGTGTTTCTAAACAACTGTGCTGGCTTTACCCTTTCTTCCATCCTTAATAAAATTACAACTTTGTAATAAAGTCCATTAATAACAGGTAAGAAAGCAGGCTGTAGTTGATGAAAGTTCACGTGTCTCTGAATGATTTGATATACAAGATGGCAACTTGCTCTGCCTTCTACCTAACTTTGCAATGTACCTTGGTAATAGTAGATTGTTTGATCCTTTAATGTACAATTTTGAAAAGTTAAAAAAAACCTTTTTTGGCTTAAAAATATTTCATTTTTAATCAAATCAAAAGTTGGGTTTTTTTAATTGCAGCCATTTCTTAACAAGTTTAATGCTTTTAGTAACGTTAATGAGAAGTCATTTTTATACTGGAAAATCATAATATAGGTATAGCTTTGAAACATGCCACTTTGCTTTTTCACTTTTTTTCCGACCCTCCTTTCTTTTTGGATGAACAAGTTGACAAAATTGACTTGAATTTCAGAAATGTTTCAGCATTGCAGAATCTGCATTTTTTACCAAAACTCTTGTGGTAAAATAAATAAATAAAATGTAACCAACTTGGCTAAATACAGACACAAAGCCCAAGGTTGAATTGACTCAATCTTTGCCGTTAGTCTAAGCTGCATAGATTGAAAAAATAAGCAAATGAACAGTCACTTTTGATTCCAGAAATGCTGTGGCCTGGGCTGGAAGCTGGGATGGGGGCACTAGAGCATGCTTCCCTGCTGGCTGAAGCAGATGGCTTGGACCAAGGCTAGCCCACCCACCTTGCAAAAGGGAGAGGTTGCAAGGGAGGTGCAAAGCATTCTGGGAGTTATGAGTTAACTTGAATTTGATGGGGATATGGGATAGAAGTTCAATAAACTGATTTAACCTAAATCAGTTAAGTCTGATACTACATCCATCCCGGTTTATCTTAAACCAGTTTTGGCCATTTTGAAAGTTGTTTACATGTTTTTAACTTCTGTTGTATTACAGATTTGAACCAGTTTCTGATCACTTGTACCAGTTTACATGTAATTTCTGCCTCTAGCCTGAGATTGTAGATCAGGAGTCAACAATGTTTTCGGGCAGAGTGCTAAAAACATCTGCAACCTCAACTTGTAAGATGTTTGCATGCCAGGGACAGATGGTAGGGTAGCTGCGAGGGGCCCAATCCTTGCTGTGGCAGCACAGCCCCTGCCCCTTCCTCACTGTCCTCCCTGAGATGTGTGTACCAAGCAAAATACCTTCACATGCCACACACTGACACTTATGCCAGGAGTTGCCTGCTGTAGAAGGAGCCCATACCTCTATTTTTGTCTGGTACAAGGACAGAGAACTGTTAGTGTTTAACAAAGACACTGAATACCAGTAATAATAAAAGAGTCATTTAATAAATAATAGTCAAGCAAATCAAATTAATCTGACACCAAAATGCAAACTTTTTATATGTGTAACAAGGACAGTATTTAATGCCATGGATCAACTGAGATTTTAGTTTTAAGGTCAACATATTGATCAACCCCAAGCAGTGCCTTTTTGCTTTTTACAAGTAGTTGTCACATTCCATCTCCACCAGCTCTGTAAGGATGTCTTCCAGTATGGTCATGATTATTATACCCTAATGCAGAGTGAAGCAGCTCACAGGATCGATTTCCACACCATCCACTATAAGGCTGAATTTCAAGTCTCCCAGAGTACTGTCAGGACAAAGCATTAATGGTTATACTGAAACACTACTGTTAACAGCATCCTATCCATGCTTAGCATGATGTTGGTCTATCAACATCTAAAGAAAGGATTGTATATTGATTAATTTCTTCTTAAGAGAAATTTATTTCTCCCAAGTTGTGCACATCCATTCTGAGCTGTGATAGCAGTCTGTTGTGTACTGCAGAGGCTCAGCTGAGGTGGAATCATTTAAAAAAAAAAAGCCCACATTGACATTGCTGAAAGCCAAGAGGTAGACATTCAAGCTACTTAGTGTTACCTAAATATAGGTTTGAAATTTTCAGACTTGCTTAGTGTTGTTCATGCCACATGGCACATGAAGCTTACAAGACAGCATCTCCAACACTTGGCTGCATTTCTTTCTACTGTTGACCATCCTATTACAAAATACTGATTTTATATTACTGTTGAGTAGTTTAATTTTTATTCCAAGGCTATATGTCTTTGATCTCTGAATGTTTAGCTGTAGAAATGCTGCTCTTGGCTTTCGTGTACATTTTTGGATATCTTTGTCTCCTGTTTCTCTGACTCTTGGAGCCCAGGTATGCAAATTTCCCTTCTTCTAAATGTTTTGGTTCCATTTGTCTTGTCAGGAGTCCTAACAAGCAGCCCAGCCTGGGCTAATTGCCTAGTTGGCTATATCTGCCTGGGTCCTACCCAGCTAATGAAGCAACTGGCCACTTGTTCATGTCTCCTGATTGCACATCTGCTTTGGTAAGTGTCATGAAGCGAGATAGTTGGTGAGGGCATGAACGAAACACTGGCAAGAACCACATTTCTGGAGCAGCTGCTCGATTAAACTAGAGTCGCCCCGGAGGGAGGGGGAGGAGGAAAAACCCCCTGATGAAAACAAGAAGAGTGATGTGGAGTGCTGGAAGGAGGAGAGAGCTGATAGGGAAGGTGGGGTGGGAGAGGAGTCACATGTCATCTGGCTGGGGAAGATGGTGAACTGCATCAAGCCGAAAGATATTGACTGAAATGTCATTGCCGGGAATGCAATCCGGGAGCCAGCGCTACTTGGAAAACAGAGGGACAGCTAAGAAGAGACGGCTGAGCCTACATTAACAAGTAAAAGCTTTCTTATTTTATTAATACACGGTCAAATTGGGCTGGAGCAACATTGTAAAAAAACCCCAGAAACATAAATACAATAAACCCAACACCATTTGGAGAATTTAAAGGGGAAGGCACCTGTTTTTCTTTATTTTTTTTTTCTTATACCCTTGAAGAAAACAAAGACAGGAATTCATCTCTGTTTATACTACCTGGGCATGTCCAGATGAGCTTTGAGATGCTGCAAGAGGCACGTGCAGGAACAGGAAAATGTTCCCTCCGGCAAAATAAGACCCCTGGATATCCAGGAGTCAGAAAAAAACAAGCTAAAAAAAGTGGCAACCTGTGACTGGGTCCTCCACAGAGATGCTTTGGCTGCCAGAATGTCTCTGTGGTTGGCCCTCGCCCTGGTACTGAACCACAACCTGCCCATGCAGGATAGGCAGCAGGGCTCCAGTGCTAGTAAGTAAGGGGTCAGGGGGGCCAAATAAGACCCCTGGATATCCAGGAGTCAGAAAAAAACAAGCTAAAAAAAGTGGCAACCTGTGACTGGGTCCTCCACAGAGATGCTTTGGCTGCCAGAATGTCTCTGTGGTTGGCCCTCGCCCTGGTACTGAACCACAACCTGCCCATGCAGGATAGGCAGCAGGGCTCCAGTGCTAGTAAGTAAGGGGTCAGGGGGGCCGGAGGCCTGCCCAGCCCTAGCCCTCCCAGCCCCTGAGGCCCCTGATCCCTGCCCCCCAACCCCAGCATCCCCACAATAAAAAACAAAAAAAACAACCCAGCACTTCCTGGCAGTTACAGCTGCTATCTGGGTCACTGGGGCCCCACCTGCACAGTGCAGGGCGGGGCGG